TTTTTAATGAATAGTTTGAGCAGCATTTTGCAATTAATGTTGTGATTAATAGAGAATTTGAAAAATGATACAGAAATCTGCAAATTTATATAGCTCAAAATTTTGAAAAAATAAATATTATTTAAGTTTAGCAACAACAACAATAACGATAATAATGATCATCGCAATAATACTAATAATAGCATTCACAAAGACGAATAAAAAACTAAAATAATTATGTTAATAATATTTATGTACGATATTTAATGTGTACTAAATAATAGCACAACATAGTTTTGCTAATAAGACACTTCTTGTTATTTTTGTTACAAAATTAAAAAATCAAAGTATTTACACGTTGTATGAAAATGAATTTGATTACTACCTTTTGAACTTTGAATATATTAAAATTGAGCAAGTTCAAGCATAAATACGTTAATTTACTCGCGCACTTTGCAAAAAATTACGATCTTTTTCTGTGGATTTAAATTTGACAAAAATTAATCCGCATCTTTCTTTTCATTTGTAAAATAATTAGCTCATAGCAGTGCTGATTTACTGAGAAGGGCTGATGTTGTTAATTTGCATATTCATTTATATTGCTAAAAAAATAAATGCTGCTGTCTGAGCTCAAATACAGTAATGCAAATTAACACTTATGAAATATAAGTAAGAATTTTGAATTAAATTCTTCAAAATTCTTCTTACTAAATAACATATTAATAAATCGAAACAATTGAATTTATTTTCAGTAAATCCGTAATAAACAAAATTTGTTTTTACCATATTAAGAATTAAAGTTTTTTATACAAACATATTTGTTTGTAAAATAAAGTTATTTTTTTCTTCAGCCAAATACTGCAAGCAATTATCTTTTAAAGTTTTCATTCATTATCACAAATGTTTTATTATTTCCATTATGTACTTTGGCACATTACACGAAGTTAAGATTCACAACAGCCAGTAAAGATTTTTTTTTGACAATTAGAACTTGTTTTGATCATAAACTGAAAAATTGAAAGAATTATCAAATAACTCAAAATTTATTTTGATTTTATTTTGCGCAAATTAGTGAACTGCAAGCCCACACATTGTTCCATCTATAAAATGATATGAAGTGATCGTAAATAACAATACTTTTGCCAGTACTGTTGAATATATTCATAAGCAAAGTAATTTTTATACGTACATCTAACTGTTTACTCTCATTGAAAGTGATTTTTGTATTTGATTACTTTACTTTCGTAAATATCATAATTTTATATTAAAGTCAATAATATGACACAAATTTGTAAGAAGTGTTTCTTTCTTTGTCTTGATCTCATATTTTGATAGTTTTCTAAATTAGTCTTTTTTGGCTATAAATTTGCTGCAAATGCAGTAGCATGCATTAATATCAATTAGCAAAGTCAAATCAGACTTGTTAGCTTTTTTAAATTCATTTTGTGTTGCTTAGATTTATTTTAAAATTTTAATTTAGATCATTCAGTATAGCACTGTTCTTAATATCACCTAATCAGGCAAGTAGGTAAGTAAGCAATTGAGTGTCTTGAAGAATACCTCTTGCAATCTATCAACGATTTCATTTTTAGCCTTCAGAACACATCTCAGAATTTCGCTCTTAGGTTTTGTTACAGTGCAACAAATATCATATAATACCATACATTGTCGAGAAAGACAATTTCATTGAATGTGTTTGTAATATTTGCAGATGAAAAACTTTTAAAAAAAAGTCTCTCAACAAAATTCCTCTGTAAATTTGTTTATTTTATGCATTTATTCAAATGCATTACTGTTTCATGATATAATTATTAAATATTTAGAAAAATAAAAATAAGCTTTATTAACAAAAATGCCCGAAAATAACAAATTCAAGTATGTACATTTAAATATTGGAAGAGAACCCACTCATTATTCAAAAATCCATTTCATATTGCAGTCTTAGAGTAATCTATGAAGTTATGACATTGTATAACTTGTCATGAATATTGATAATGATATCCCATTACAAAAATATACTCGGTTTCTTTTTTTATTCATTTCATGAAAACTTTTTATCATCCAATCTATTATCACTAAGAAGGACTTAAAACAAAATAGTACTAACAGTGTTGTTATTTTATGTCGTTTTTAACTAATTAATTAATTAATAAAAAGTTATGATTTAATTAAGAATTCATTTCTTAACAAGAATGAATTTGCTAAAAAGATTATAATAAAAAATAAGTAGAAGAGTACGCATATTTACTCATACACAAACACACGCACACACACACTTAGGTAGGCGGCTATTCACGCAAAACTTTAATGTATGTAAGCATAAACGTTTACGTAAATGACTGCATCATTAGAAATTTGTTTTGTATGAGTGAAGAAATAAATGAGAGCGATAAAACGCAAACTGCAAATTGCCACAATGGACATTGGCATCAATGACCAATAATGACCTTCAAAAAATCTTTCTCGAAAAACTTACGATTTACAAATCTAACTATTATTTCCTTGTTCACTCATTCTCTTCTTGTTTTTCTGTTTTCTACTGTAATTTATTTTATTCTGTTATTTCAGCACAATTATATTGTCAAAGATTAGTTAGTTTATGAGTAAATAAAGTAAGTCATTTTTGACTTCGTGATATTACAGATGAATGATATGCTGAGTTTTGCATTATATGCGTTAATCTTTATAATAATTATTGGTCTCATATATTATTATATTAGCAGACCACTGAATCGAATCAGACTTTACGGAGATATAGGCATATTTGTAGGCACAGTAAAGGCAAGTTATATCTTATTTCATCCATAATGCAGCTGTAATAGCTATGAAAATCATTTTTTCACTCTTCGATTTGCTTATAATAATGAGTATGAAAAAAGAAGTTGGAATTAATAAATAATTGCTGACAAACGAAAAATTAAAACTACTTTGAAATGTTTCCTTTTTTTGTTTTCATAATTTATGCATAAAAAGTTTTTTGGAAAATTAAAACAAACTGTTAACGAAAAAGTAAAAAACAAATTTAAATTACTTTTCAAGCTATTTTATAACAGGTGAAAGGGAAACACAAACAAGAATATTTGAATCGGTTAAGAAAAGCTCGTGTTGTAGGAAATATACCTCCGGTATATCCCAATGGATGGTTCTGTATAGCTGAATCAAGACAACTTAAGCCTAAACAAATCTTACCTGTTTTTTTCTTAGGTCTAATAATTAAATTTTGTTAGGTCTAATTTTCAATTTTTACTATTCATTTTCATTATTATTGTGATCAATTTTATGCAAAGTCTATTTAGTACTTAACAGTTTTTAGAATAATTCTCTTCTCTTGGATTATTTGTGAAAATGCTTTTAGACTAATAATTTGAATTTTTTTTAAATTTAATTTATAAAGCAAAAAGAACTATCTTCACTCAATTTTTTTACAATTAAATAATAATAAATAAAATAATAAATTCAGTCATTTTCAAAATTCACTGCTAATAATTTGTATTTATCAAAACGTATAAAAAATTTTTTATACAGTTTTATAATGAAAGTTTATTAGACTTTTTCAGATTTTTCTTGAATCGTATTGTATTATTGTAATAATGATAAAAATATTTAAAGGTTTTGAGTAATTTTTCCTAGTAAAATGTTTCAGTTTTCACTCTTTTACTTTACAGGTCAACAACTCACTTTATTCCGATCCGAAACTGGTAAAGTATACCTGGTAGACTCCTACTGCCCACATTTGGGAGCTAATTTTAATACTGGCGGTCGTGTTGTTGATGACAATTGTATTCAGGTACGCTTGCAAGCAATTCCATTACTTGAAATTGAAAAAAAAGCAAAACGAATAAGTACATATGCAAATGTCTTAATTCCTTGTAATTAGTAAAATAATCAAAAGTTTAAAAATTGAAAACTAATTTTGAAAATTATACTACGAATGGATCAATAGTTTTATTTCTTGAAATGCAGATAAAAATACCAACAACCATTAAAACATTAATATCAATATTATAAGGGATTAAGTTCAAAAATTAGAAAAAAGCTTTTGTTCTCTTAACTTTTCGGATTTTTAAGGTTTTTATAAATTTGCTGGATGAAAATTTTTGAAATTTGAAATAATTATTTAAAAAATGCAAGTTTGATCTTTTTTAAAAATATATGAAATTTTTTAATGTCTAAAAACAAATTGCAACTAATGATTGAAGCTGAATTTACACCGTGAAATAATTTATTTATCAGAGAAATACTGTGTCTTAACTTAAGTAAATAATGAACTTAATCCCTCATAACCGCTAATATTTTTTTGGGATTAACCTTCTTAAACTGATTTCTTATCATATCTCATAAATATGCCACACAATAAATCACATTATAATAAATTATACCTCAGTGTCCATTCCATGGGTGGATTTTTAATGGTGAAACGGGTGCTTGTACCCGTATCCCTTATAATTTGAATTATTCAATTCCACAAAAAGCTTCTGTGGCAGTTTGGCCTGTAATTGAAAGAAACAAGCATATATATGTTTGGTAAGCTAATTTTAAAAGATTATTTTCAAAGTAGAGTGGACAAATATTTTTGAAAAGAGTTTCGTTTTAAAAATGATAATGGATAATTTTAGTTTCAATACTGATTTTCATTTATTCAATTAATTTTAGCTCATAATAAAGCTTATTCTGAAAATACAGGTACCATTGTGATGGCTTAAATCCGGAATGGAATATTCCAGAAATTGATGAGATTGCTGATGGCACATGGCAATATAGAGGACGAACTGAGCATGAAATAAATAGTCATATCCAAGATTTACCCGAAAATGGTGCCGATATTGCGCACTTGAATTATTTGCATTTAACAGGTGTTAATAAAGGTTTGAAATTTAACATTTTTTAAACAGTAATCAATAATTTCAAAAACAAATTTGATTTAAATGTATAAATAAATATACGTGAAGATTAAACTTATTTTTTAAAGTTTTGGCATTTACTTTGCTAAATCTTTTAGCCTTTGATATTGAAAGATTTTGCCATTTTTGTTGTATTATTTTTGAATATTTAAGCAAAATAAAATTTGTATTTTGAAGGTTTCATGTAAATACTAAAAACATCAATTAAAATTATTGAAAGTTTTCAAATGTCCAATAATTTTAAAAAGATGCAAAATAAAATATGACAATACAAAGATATATTAATCGAAGAAAATCAGTAATAAATGGTATATATTCAGTATTTCAGGTAATGACATAACTAAAATTGATTTAACAAATCCGCAACCAGTGATTAAGCATGTTTGGAATGGCCGTTGGGAGCAGCAGGCAAAACCGGATCAACACATTGCTGTAATGTATTTAGAACAAGTCATGACCATATTTGGAATATCTATACCATTGACTCATAGCTATTTAAAAGCTATACAGGTTAGTTAGCGCGAATTTTTGAATTTTGAGAGAATGTTATTGAAAGTCTAAGAAGCAAATACGTTGTAAAAAATTTTGTGATTTTTCGAAAATAAAACAGAAAATTTCAAATTTTTTTCAGTATTTAGTTGAATAAATTCGTTTGCACACATGCAAATTAGAATTAATCCTTGAAGCGATTGAGAGAATCTGAAAACTAGTCATTATTACTATTGTCTTCAAATTATTATTTGACAAGCAATGCACTTATCAGTTTTGTCTTAACAGCGCATTATTTTTACAATTGATAAATTCACATAAATTAATTGTCATTAATATGCACTACCACTGATATGAAAGTAAGTGATACTATTGTTTCTGTTCGAAATGAGATTCGAATTGACCAAGCATAAACATGAAATCTGATTTAAGTTTATTTCTAGTGCCAAATTTTTAATTAATTATTTTGCAATAAATTGCTATTAAAAAACAGGTTTCTATTTCAAATAAAAAAATATGAAACAAAAGTATTGATTTCCTCTGTAGACTGGAGATTTGATACCAGAAGCAAAGTGAGATTACATTGATTGAAGTATTCCTTTGAATATTTTTTTGTTTGTGTAAAACGTTGAGTCGTTTCTGATCATTTTGAAAAAATTATAAATACAATTTAAAATAATCATTTTCATAGTCAGTCAAATAAGCTGATCATTACTTACATTAAAATCAATTTTATGCTTTTTTAAAATTCTACGTTACCTTTTATGAATCTAATCAGTAAATTATTCTAGATCGGTCCAGGTATCGTGCATATGATGTTTAACTTTGGGTGGCTCGGGCGAGGAGTTGTTTTTCAGCACATAACACCTGAGGAACCGTTATTTCAACGTGCACGGTTCACTATGTATGCAAACATCCCCAAAATATACTCGAATATGTTTTTAATCTTCGAAGCATTCCATGTGAGTATACTTTTATTTTTTCACTAAAACTAACTCAATGCTTAATGCTTAAAATTTTGCTAATATCGACTTTTGTTTTCGATATTAGTAAAATTTTTTGCAATTAACAAATATTTACAAAACATGAAATATACAAATTTAAAAGAAAACAAAAGTTTCAATGGCTAAGTCATGATAGAGGTTTCTTTGTATGCAAAAATAAAATTAGATATTAATTAATTTACAAAGTAACTAAGCTTTTCCAAGAAGTGATTAACAATATGATTTATACAAAATAAAAACATGCAAAATTGACAAAAATACGAATTAATGTATAATTCAAACTTCTTTCTCTTTTACTTGATTTCAGTTTGAACGTGACATTCACATTTGGAACCATAAACGATACGTGAAGCCACCATTATTAGTTGCAAAAGATGGACCAATCTTGAAGCATCGACGATGGTTTGATCAATTTTACACTGATAATAGTCCACGCTTGAAAATGGATGGAACATTAACCAACCACGTGAAATCAATTTATGATTGGTAGACTCAAAATCGATAAAGTTTGCTCTCAAAAAATACTACTACAAATATCAGTATATATTTAAATTCTGAATACAAAAAGGAATAACAAGTGCTACATTATCTATTTCTCTTTTCAATTAATTAGACATGAATGAATATAAGTAAATTTTTTAAACATCTTTGCCTAGATTGTTACAATTTTCTTTTTCATTAGTACTTTGCTACTGTCAAAGGTTACCTTGACCTGATTTGTACTGTTTTTGATCAATCTGAATTACAAGGATCATACTGCCTCATTTATGTAATCAAATTTATCGATGAGTGAAGTGGAATATGCTAAATACATTAAGGTAATATGTCTTGACTATTTTTACAGAACACTACAAATGCACAATTCTTTTGCGAAATTCTCACATTTGTAACTGTGAGATCGGAGATTGTAATTGTATTTTGAGTTATTTGTTGAGTTTGGAGTTCAGTTATAAGGTTTACTCATGCATTTAAAGTTTAGTAAATGTTGGATTGGATGAAATAATGACTTTGGCCTTCACAACAAAACATATGTACTCGTCAATACTTATTTATTTGGATAATTGAAAAAGTTTTGAAAGCAATTAATTGCTTCAATATTTGATTCATTACCATAAATTTATAACTTTTTTATGCCGTTGAAAACAAAAATATCTGGAAAAAATCAATAAAATGATTTAATGATATGTTGCACACGAGAAATCAATTAGAACAGATCAAATCCATAGAATACAAAAAATCATGACAACTTTCATTGTCATACATTGCAAATAGTAAATAAAATGTTGACATTTGTGGAATTGATAACTTACGTGAACTTTTTGATACGTGTTTGCATGCTGAAACCGATAAGAGTTTGTGCGTTAGCTATATATCATCAATGCTTTTTGCTCATATGTAAACAACTATGAATTATGACTATAATTTTCTAGAATTTTTTACTTTAAAATAGAAAAAATCTCTCCTCTCATTTTATACTCGCTTTCAAAACACATTCCAATCATACTAATGAGCAATCATAAAAAGTAAATTCATCAGAGAAACAGCGAAAATAATCAGACAAACAAATCGGGTCAGTACGAAAACATCAACTTGATTGATACTTCGTACCAATTACCACACAATAGTTTGTATTGCTTCACAATATTATGAAAATATGCAACTAAATAAAATAAAAATAATTTTTTACGACTGATAAAAGCAAAAACTATCATAACTGAAAATGAAGGGATTGCTTTGCAGTTGAATAAACATTTTTTAGACCAAAAATGGTTTTAGTTTACTGAGAATATGGCGGATATGCAAGATGAAAATGATCAGTTTCACTATCCTTAATCGAAATATTTATTTTCTCAAATCTTGAAAGGACCGAAATTCCGCTAAAATTTACATAAAACAATTAAACAAACAAAATATAGTATGATTGGAATGTGTTTATTAGTAATTACTTTAAGAACAATTGTAAAGAAAATGCTTGAAAATATTTGTATATAAAATGCATAAAATATACGTTTAAAAAAATATTCTGCTAATAACAAAAATTCAAAATAAAAGCATACTTCAAGTTTAAACACACATATAAAATCAGTCACTTATTAATAGTATTCGTAAGAAACAACAGATAGCAAGTCAAGGTCACGGATTTTATTCATTTGAAAACGTTCAAGTTAAATTGAAGCAAATACTTCGTAGACATGAAAGTTGTAAGAATAATGACAAAAGTAACAACATATTACGAAAAATAATACTATTCAGTTTTGTATCTTTGGAAAGTAAACGTAAACAAACACGCATATACAATAATTAAGTAATAATTATACTTATCAATCAGTGCTACTTAAGTCAACTCAGCTATATGACGTAACTTCTGTGAAGGATAAAAGTATGCGTATAGATAAAACTATCAAAAATTTTAACTTAAAAAATAAAAATAAGAATGCATAATTTTATTTCCGATTAACTGTGATCAAATTGTAATATGCAAATAATTGCGCGGAAAGAAAAGAAAAATAGCAGTGAAAAGGGACATTGAAAATGAATAAAAGAAATAAAATTAGAAATGAAAATAAAAACTTTCATTTTAAAATTTGCAGACAACGAATGGAATGTTGTACTTAACAAATATAATGTGACAAAGAATAAAACATAGTAGAGAGAGTGAGAGGAAAAGAGAGAAATGCTTCAATGAGTTGCATATTTTATGGAATTCTTTGCATTCATTTCAATCAGAAGAAAGGATAGAAAAATCTTTTTCTCTTACATTCTCACTCTCTATCTCTATCTCTGTATATGTTTATCTTTTTATCGTTATTAAGATGATGGTAAATTTTCACCACGCTCTATTCAAAACTATTATCAGTGCACAGGTTCACGTTTGTATGCTTACGTATTTATATAAATTTACATTATTCAAATTTTGCTATTGTTCAATTATAATTAACCTTCTTTATTTTCTGATCTAGTCAAACTTTTTTCATAGTTCATATACATACATCAATCTATCAATCCTGTTCATCTATCCGTTCATCTGTTCATCCATTCATCTATCTATCTATCTATCTATCTATCTATCTATCTATCTATCCATCTATCTATCTATCTGTCTATTTATGCATAAATCTTTCATAGTTTTGTTAGCATCGAAATGCTTATTGAGTATGCATCTTCTTCTTTTCCATTTTCATAATTATCATCGTTAGTTAATATTGTATTGTAGAGATCAGTTTCTATATTTTATTCTCTTTATTTACTTTTTACTGTATACAGTGAGGTCGTTTATTCTCTCTTTTCCTACCAACACTTTGAATTAGCTAAATATTCTAGCATTCCATGTCAGAGCATGTTGATAATTTTAAACACTAAAATAATTAAATACTTTTACAATAATATTGCTGAACCTGTTCTTGAGTTAGTTCAATATCTTGAGAAAATCTAAAATGCAGAGTTGTTTTGTAATTTGAGCTAAATTAAGGAACTGTGGTGTAGCTTGACCTGAAAAAGACAATAAGTAAGAGCAAAATTTTGAGACGAAAAAATGAGGAAAGAACCGGTCGTAATCAACAAAGCATTTTTTCATCTTTTTGGCGAAAATTTCTGTTGCAATTTTTGGCAATTTTTTTTAGAACGAGAAAAGTTTAAAATTGTAGATTCAAAGGACAGGAAAGTTGCAGACTGTGTCCTGTGGTACTTTTCCATTTTGATTCCTTTGCAAAACATGTTCTTTTCCTTCATTTGCTTGTGTGAAGCAGTCAGTACTTTTATATTTCTGCGCGCTGCAATCTATCCATACGTAAATATCCGCATGTGTGATTGATCATACGTGTAATATGCTTTTATATACGTGAATACTAAAGCCATGGTATGTATACATACATATGTGTGTGTATGTGATTATTGTGTGTGTGTGTGTGTGTGTATATGGCTGTGTACATTGTCAACAATCGTTCTCTTCAATTGTTTCTTCGTACCAAATGGCAAAATTTATTTGGATCATTTGAATTTATCGATTTTCACGTTACGGGAACTGATTAGAGCTACTGCCCTTGTGTTCCATTTCAACGGTATGTGACGGAATTATTCATCTTGAAGCAAATGAAATAGGCATCGAAAAAACTGAATCACTTCATTATTTTGCCACATTCTCAGTGAATTATTGCTTCTTCAGCTAATACTTTTTTAGTTAGAAAACCAGAAAAAGAGAGCTCTGTATTTGCAAAACTTATCAAACCAACCAAAATGATGCATTTAAAAGTTTTTATTTAGTGGTACAGTTTTATGTTATCTCTTTCTGTATTTTTTCTTGACTTGCCTTAGTTTGTACCAAAATAAAATCAGAAGCCAATGAGCCGAATTAGAATTTAACTGATCATATGAATCAAATCCGATCCTGATCGGTGATCCAATCCTGATCCATGTGAGGAGCACTCTAAAGATTTGAAAATTCTTTAAATTGCTTAGTTTTTGAGAGAAAAGTATTTTTCATTTGTAAATTTCATACTATTTACTAAGTAATAATAATTTGATCTAAATAATGACAGTTTAATTAAATTATTTGCTAAATTAATATTTATCATTAAAAATTTTTCATGTAATATTTTACTTCTCTTCTTTCTCTTCACTGTCTTATTCATTTCGAAAATTTTTTCCCAGCATAGATTGATTTTGTTGGAATTAATATTTCTTTGGGCGTAGTTTTTGTACAGTTGTTACAACAGAGTACAGTCACATAGAAATGGCTAGAAACAGCAGGCATAAAATTATTTTAAGACAATTTTTTTATTGAAGTTTTTCATAAGTTTTTTTCCAGTAACATTACTTTTTAACTTATTGAGTTTAATAATTTTGTTTCTAAATTTATCAAAACTGATCTTAAGCTATTTATCTAAACTTAGTCTCTAAACTATAAATTTACATAAGAACAATTTGAAATGCATAGATAAATGTGCAGAAATTTAAGTCAGAGAAAACAATTGTTGATCAAGCGGATATTCTGATGAGATGATTAGAATGGCAAGAAAAAAATGATTCTGTGTTGACTTCTTATGTTAGTTAGTACTTTTGTTTATTTAAGTAACTAACTTAAGTAACTTTCTGACTTATACTTTATGCAGTTTCCTGAAAAATACATTTTCGAATTTTTAATTTTCTTTCTCTCTTTTTATATAATTTTTTTTACACTTCTCTACGAATATTTTGATTTGTGTCTGACTTTTGATGAATTGTATAGCATGCAAAATACTTCATTATCAATCAAATCAATTCTTGCAGTGTTACACACACTTCATGAATGGGCAGTAATTACTGTAATGAATTTTTTTTTTTTTTGCACAAAAGTACCAATTGCCTCTTTTATACTATTTGTAATTATTTTTGTATTAAGAGTTGAGTGTTAAGTAATCGTAACACTTCATTACACTGCAACAAATTCAAATTCAAATTGTGTTTGTTGTGTTACTTTGATAAATTCATTGCTTAAAATTTGAATTCATTGAAATGCATTGAAGATATTAAAGTATATTAATTATGCGATAGCCGCCTGAAATTACTCTCAAAATATATAATGAAAAAATTCTTTTTTCTTTCTTTCCATCTATCAGTCAGTCAAATCTTTTGCATTCAGAAAAAAGGAATTTTTGCCCGCGACATTTTATGCATTTTTATGCACCTATTTTAAAATATGTAAAGAAAAAGGCAAGGAATGAAAGATTTTCATCGATGATATATTTATTTGTAATAGTTGATAGTTGATAGTTGATGGCAGGCATGTAGTATCGATAAAGTTAACCAACCAGCCATTAAAACATAAGACATTAACCGTTGTCTTATTTTTTATTTTTGTTTAAAACAAATTTATTTTTAAAAATAAAAAATTTTTGAATTTTTTTAAAAACTTAGCCGATTTTTCTTTGTTAAATATTAACTTTTAAGTATTTTAAGTTTATTTAAATTTAAAAATAATACTTATTTACTAAGCAATAATTATTTGTATTTTGTATTTGTTTGTTTACTAACTAGGGATTATTATTTTAATTAAAATAGCAAACTAATTTTATACCAATTTCTCTGATTAAAAATTATTAGATATTTTATATTATTTTGCTAAAAAAAATTTTTTTTTACTACATTAATAGAAAGAAAAGCGAAGTTTTTTCCTCCTTTTTTTTGCAGCGTTTTCCTTCCATTTATTCCATTCCTTCTCGCATTCTGTTTCACACCAAACGAAAGCAATACCAGTACAGAATGGCAGTTAGATAGAAGATAGATAGATGTATGTATGTAGATGAGCATGCAAGCAAGCGAGCATTGCTCACAACTTTCTCACTT